TATCTTGCAGTCGAAGGCTTTTGCAAGTATCCGATCGTTGTATCTTGGGAGACGCTTTACCACATACCGTAAGCACGGTGTGATGTGGTAAAAACGTCTTAAGGACAGAGAGTTTAGTTCTCGCCTCGATCATCCTTATTTTGAATTCTGATCTTGTTTATGCATTTTATTCTTACTGTTTTGTGATAGTCATTTTTGTTTTAGCAAGTCATCTTCTGGAAAAATTATTCTATGCATGTAAAGTAGACAACAATTCTCTCAGCTAAACATTCTAAATAATTTACCACACAAAAGGTGGAACGAAACTCCTTATAAGTTATGAAAATGTTGTAAACCTTCGTACAAATACTTAAAAGTATGGGGTGTTTGGCTAAGGTAGAAATACCAAAGCCTAAATAAGTTAAAATAGGGCCTAAAACCATGGATTGCATATTCGTTTGATATGGTACTAACAATGGTGTTTATCGGTTCTTTGTACATAAGTCTGACATTTCGGATGTACAAGAAAATACTATCATTGAATCTAGGAATGATGTAATTTTTTATGACAATTTTCCTTCTAAGGATAGGAAAGATATAAGTTCACAAAAATGAACTTAGGATACTGCAATTGGTAATCATCAAAGTGATAAAGAACCAAGACGTAGCAAAATAACCAAAACATCTACATCTTTTGGTCCAAATTTTTTGACTTATTTGTTAGAAAATGAACCTAGAATATTCAATGAAGGAATGTATAGTCCAGAAGTTCAATTCTAGAAAGAGGCTATCAATAGTGAAATTGATTCTAATATGCAGAATCATACTTGGGAGTTGGTGGATCTCCCACCTGGTAACAAACCGTTATGTTGTAAATGAATTTTCAAAAGAAAATTAAAGATTGATGGATCAGTTGATAAATATAAGGCCGGATTGGTAGCTAAATGATTCAAACAAAAAAGAAGGAATTGATTTTTCGATACATACTCACATGTGACAAGGATGACATATATTAGAGTATTAATTGCAATTACAACATTACATAATTTGGAAATCCAACAAATGGACGTCAAAACAATTTTCTTAAATGGTAAGTTAGAAGAAGAAATTCACATGGAACAACCCAAAATGTTCATTGATCCTGGACAGGAAAAAATATGTGTATGCTTGTTAAGTTGTTATACGGACTAAAGCAAGCACAAAAACAATGGCAAGCAAAATTTGACAAAACTATGTTGTCAAATGCTTTTAAGATTAACGAGTGTGATAAATGTATTTATATTAAAACCACACCTAATGCACATGTAATCGTATGTCTATATGTTGATGACATGATAATTATATATAGTAATTGTGATATCATAACAACTACCAATAAAATGTTGACAAAATATTTTGACATGAAAGATATGAGTATT